TACTTTGGGAAGTCAGCTAACACCTCTGGGCCTTAGTTTTTCATTTATAAAATGGGATATTACCAGAACGAACCTCAGAGGATTGATTTTGCAGATGTGAAGTGCTTAGAATGGTGCCTAGCATGTAGTAATCACTATTTCCCCTAACAACAATGCCAGAAGAACAAGAAAAAAATTCTAAAACACTGTCATTTTTATAATTACATTAGCAGTAAATATTATCAGATTAATGATATACCTGGATCCAAGGTTTAGAGGCAAATTCAATTGCATGCTTTTCTATGCTCCAAGCATTATATGACCCACCGTTGTTTAATCTTGCTAATTTGGGTTCCCAATAACCTAAATTCAAAGGAGGAAGGAAAAAAATATTCTGAATTTTTAAAAAACCAGGCAATTAGCAATTTCTGAAGTGAGTCTAGTCCAGTGGAAAGCCAGATCCTTGTTATTGTATTGAAGTTAGGAAATCAGGCAGTTGACATGGGCCTCAGCTACTAAGCCAGTCCTTAATGATGAAGTCTTGTCTCAGGTCTGTGCTTGGTGAGCTGTTAACCACACACAATCCCTCTTGTGCACACAGATTATGTTTATCTTTTCTCAGTTATGTTGTTGTGGCTGCTGCTGAATGCGCCAGCCTAACAGGAAGACAAGAAAGGGATGTCCTCTTGATCATGACCCCTTGATCTTGGGAAGGGCTTTGAAGTAGAGTGAGAAAGCTTAGGAACTCTTCCTAAGTATGAGTTTCTGACACATAGTGGGTGATCAACAAAGTTTCTTGAGTAGGGAAAAGGCCATATGAACGGGAACTATAATGCCTGGGATAAGACCCTGTGAATCTTGCTGGAATACTCTGTGTGTTATTAAACCTAGAAAAAATGAATGGGGAGAGTTTTGGGAATGGGTACATGATCATAAAACTAAGCTATCAACTTCTTGTCAAATCCCTGGAGAGACACTGGATTGACTATGGACCTCTAGCTCTTGGTTTTCCCTGGAAGAGACTCTAGGAACATTATACACCATAGGGTGTGGCAGTGATAAGAGTGTACTACAGGCTTTTAGCTTCTTTCTCTATGAGATGAGCACCTTGAATGGAGCTGCTTCACTATGTTGTGGTAGAAAAAAGTCTGGAGAGGAAAAGTGACCCATAGGTAGGATTGTCATGTATGGTTTCACTGGCTGTCTACTGCACAATAACAGGAGGTGCCACTCACAGGCTATGATGCTGCTACTTACCCAGATACTCAGAAGCCTTGATCTGTGAATCAGTTATGATACCAGTGCTTAGTCCCATTGGCATTTTACATTCTATGTAAAACAGAAAAATGAATAATTTTTGCTTAGAAATTACGTAGTAAATTTAAACACATAGTAAATAACAAAGTAAAAGCTCCATGGCTAGAGATCATATCTCTGATGGGTCAGTAATTAGATATTTTCACTTACGTCATGTGGTACTGACTTAAATATGTCTGATTATAAAATGTTAAACACACTACCAGTACTAGTGCTTTAAAAGAAATAGTGACACCCTAGAGGAGAGCAACTGAAATCCTAAAATGCAATTGTTCTCCATCCACTTGTGTCTTAAAATAAGCCATTTTGCATTAAGTAGTATCTCTCATAGGACTATGTTCTCAAAAGGAGACCTAAAAATTGAGTAGCTGTGGGCAGCCCCCCACCTGATGGAAGGCAGGAGAGCACCCAGAGATCTTACCAGGAGCCATGGCAGCCCTCCCCCCAATAGAAGGTAGGAGCATGCCTGGGTACATCACCAGGAGCTATGGGCAGCCCCCTCCTGACAAAAGGCAGGAGCATGCCTGGAGACTGCAGCCCTTGCCACTGCCACAAACATCACTTCTGCATGGGTGGTTCACCAAAGCCACTGCCACAGCCACTGATGCAGCAAGGGTGATTTACTACCACAGCAGCATCTACAGCCACCATTCAGGCAGCCTGCTGCCCACTCGACTGCATTGACACAAGGAGAGTCACCAGTGGAGTCCAGAAAAAGAGAAGGCAATCTCTCTGCTCAAATCCTACTCCAAAGTAATAGAAGAAGCAACTGATCTAGCAGATGATCAGACATCAACATAGATAATAGAAATACAATAACAACAACAAAAAAGAAAATGTGACATCACCAAAGGAATACAGTAATTCTCAAGTACCAGATCCCACCAAGCAGGAAACACTTGAAATGTCAGAAAAGGAATTCTGAGCAACAATTTTAAAGAAACTCAATGGGACAGGAGAATATTCAGCTAAACACAATGAAATGAGAAAAAACGTTCAGGACATGAAGGAGGAAATTTACAAAGAGATTAATACTTTGAAAAAGAGTATAGCAGAACAACAGGAACTGAGGGATTCATTCAATGAAATGAAAAATAACTGAGAGTTTAAGCAGCAGGTTAGAACAAGCAGATGAAAATATTTCTGATCATGAAGATCATCTTTTTGAAATAACCCAGGTGGACAAGAAAAGGAAAAAATAATTTAAAAAATGAAAAAAATCTAAGAGAGCTAGCAGACAACCTTAAGTGCACAAATATTTGAATCATGGGTTGTTCCAGAAAGGGAGGAGAAAGGTAAAGGCATTGAAAACCAATTCAATTAAGTAATAATAAAAACTTCCCCAATATAGGGAGAGACATTGACCTTCGGATCCAGGAGACACAAAGATCCCCAAACGGATTAAATCCAAAAAGATCCTCTCTGAGACACATTGTATCCAAATTGGCAAAGCTCAAAAACAAAGACAGAATCTTAAAAACAACAACAAAAAAGTTCAAGTCACCTATAAGGGAGCCCCCATCAGACTAACAGCAGACTTCTCAACAGAAACTCTACAGACAAGAAGAAAATATGATGATATATTCAAAATACTAAAAGAAAAATCTGCCAGACAGTAATATTATACCCAGGAAGGCTATCCTTCAGGAAGGAGGGAGAAATAGTGTTTTTCCCAGATAAACAAAAACTGCAGAAGTTCACCACCACACAACCAGTCCTTAAAGAAATCCTCAAGGGAATCTGCATCTGGAATCCAAAAAAAATGATAATCACTACCATGAATACACAAGAAAGAACAACACCCACTGGTAGAACAAAAATGCAAACGAGAAAGAGAAAGAAACTAAATCTTACCACTTCAGAAAGCCAACAAACATCAAAGACAAACAATAAAAGGGGAAGAAAGAACAAAAGATATTTAAAACATCCAAACAAGAATAGATAAAATGCCAGGAGCAAGACAATACCTTTCAATAACAATCCTAAATGTAAATAGATTAAACTCCCCATTCAAAAGATACAGACAGCTGATTGCATCAAAAAGCTAGACCCAACTATATGCTACCTTCAAGAGACTCACATCACCTGTAAAGATACACACAGATTAATAGAGTAGGGACCGAAAAAGATATACCATGAAAATGGAAACTAAAAATGAGCAGGAGTAGCTATTCTTATATTGGATAAAATAGACTTTAAACCAAAAACCATAAAAAGAGACAAAGAAGGTCACTGTATATTGATAAAGGGATCTATCCAGCAGGAAGTCATAGCAATCATAAATACATATGCACCCAACACTGGGGCGCCCAGATGTTTAAAATGAACACTATTAGAACTAAAGAAAAATATAGACCCCAGTAAAATAATTGTTGGGAACCTGGACACCCCTCTCTCAGCATTGGACAGATCATCTAGGTAATAAATTGATAGAGAAATATAGGATTTAAACACTCTTTAGACCAATTGGACTTCATTGGTATTTACAGAACATTTCATCCAACAACTATGGAATATTCCTTCTTCTCTATAGTACATGCAACATTCTCCAGGATAGACCACATGTCAGGTCACAAATCAAGTTTCAACAAATTTTTAAAAATTAAAATAATTTCAAGTATCTTTTCAGACCAAAACAGATTGAAACTGGAAATCAATAACAAGCAAAACTCAGGAAACTATACAAACACATGGAAATCAAACAACATGCTCTTGAACAACTTAAAGGGCCAAGAAGAAATTAAAGAGGAAATCAAAAATTTCTCAAAACTAGTGAAAATAAAGATGCATCATACCAAAACCTGTGGGAAACTGCAAAAGCAGTACTAAGGAGCAAATTTATTGTAATAAATACTTACATCAAAAGAATAGAAAGATTTCAAATAAACAACCTAATGCAACACCTCAAAGAACCAGAGACACAAAAACAATCCAATCCCAAAATTAGTAGATGTAAAGAAATAAGATTAGAGCAGAATGAAATGAAATGGAGACCACAAAATGATACAAAAGATCAATTAAATAAAAAGTTGGCTTTTTTGAGAAGATAAACAAAATAGACAAACCATTAGTTAGCCTAACTAAAAAAAAGAGAGAAGACCCAAATAACAAAATCAGAAAAAAAGGAGACATTACAACCAATACCACAGAAATACAAAGAATCCTTAGAGATTATTATGAACAACCATTACACCAACAAATTCAAAAACCTGGAGCAAATGGATAGATTTCTGGACACATATAAACTGCCAAGACTGAACCAAGAAGAAATAGAAAACCTGAACAGACTAATAGCAAGCAACGAGACTGAAGCAGTAATCTGAAGTCTTCCAACAAAGAGAAGCCCAGGACTAGATGGCTTTACTCCTGAATTCTACCCAACCTTTAAAGAGGAGTTAATACCATTTTTTTCAAACTATTTCAAAAAATTGAAAAAGAAGCCATTCTCCCAAACTCATTTTATGAGGCCATCATCATCCTGATAGCAAAAACAGACAGAAAAACAACAAAAAGGGAAAACTACAGGACAAAATATCTGATGAACATAGATGCAAAAATCCTCAGCAAAATACTAGCAATCAGAATATAGCAACACATAAAAAAATTATACACCATAATCAAGTAGGATTCATCCCAGCGATGTAAGTATGGTTCAACATAAGTCAATAAATGTGATATAACATTTCAACAAAACTAAGGAGAAAAACCATGTGATTATCTCAAAAGATGTAAAATTCAACATCACTTCATAGAAGACACTCAGCAAATTAGGTATAGAAGGAAACTCCATATACAACAAACCCATTGCCAATATCATTCTGAATGGGGATAAGCTGAAAGCTTTTTCCTTAAAAACAGGAACAAGACACTCTCACCACTCCTAGAAAACATAGTATTGGAAGTACTAGCCAGAGAAAGAAATAAAAGGCAACCACACTGGAAAAGATGAAGTCAAATTGTCCCTGTTTGCAGATCACATGATCCTGTATATAAAAAATCTTAAAAGACTCTACACAAAAACTCTTAGAGCTAATAAACAATTTCAGTAAAGTTGCAAGATACATAATCAACACACAAAAGTCAGTAGCTTTTTTATACCCTAATAACTAACTAGCAGAGAAAGAAACCAAGAAAGCAAGCCCATTTACAATAGTCACCCCCCAAAATTAAATACCTAGGATTCAATTTAATGAAGATGAAAGATCGCTACAATGAGAACTACAACTCACTGCTGAAAGAAATTAAAGAGGACAGAAAAAGATGGAAAAAGAATTCATGTTCCTGGATTGGAAGAAGTGTGAAAATGTCCATACTACCCAAAGCGAGCTACAGATTCAATGCAATGCCCTTCAAAATACTAATGATATTCTTCACAGAAATAGAAAAAACAATCCTAACATTCATATGGAACAACAAAATATCCTGAATAGCCAAAGCAATTCTTTTGAGAAAAAATAAATAAAAAATAAAGGCAGAGGTATAACATTACCTGACTTCAAATTATACTACAAAGGTATAGTAACCAAAACAACATGGTACTGGCATAAAAACAGATACTCAGACCAATGGACCAGAATAGAGAAACCAGAAATCAACCCACATACTGATCTTTGACAAAGGCAACAAGAATATACATTGTGGTAAATAATGCCTCTTCAATAAATGGTGCTGGGAAAACTGGACATCCATATGTAGAAGAATGAAACTATACCCATACTTCTCATATACTAAAATCAACTTAAAATGGATTAAATGCTTAAATATAAGACCTGAAATTATAAAAATCCTAGAAGAAAACATAGGGGAACACTTCAGGAAGTAGGACTGGGCAAATCTTTATGAATAAGACTCCAAAAGCACAAGCAACAAAAGAAAAAAAAATAAACAAATGGGATTATATCAAACTAAAAAGCTTCTGCACAGCAAAAGAAACAATTAAAAGAGTGAAAAGACACCTAGTGAGTGAAAGAAAATATTTGTAAACCGTGCATCTGACAAGGGATTAATATCCAGAATACACAAGGAACTCAAACCATTTAACAGTAAAAAAACAAGTAGCCCAATTAAAAAATGGGCAAAGGAGCTGAATAGGCATTTGTTAAAGGAAGCTATACAAATGGCCAACAGACATGTGAAGAAATGCTCAACATCACGCAGCATCAGGGATATGCAAGTCAAAACCACACTGAAATATCAGCTCACCCCCGTTAGACTGGCTATTATCAAAAAGACAGAGATTAACAAATGCTGGCAAAGAGGCAGAGAAAGAGGAACACTCCTACACTGTTGGTGGAACTGTAAATTAGTGCAGCCATTATGGAAAACAGTATGGAGGTTCCTCAAACAACTACAGATAGAACTGCCATACGATCTAGCAATTCCTCTACTGGATATATACCCAAAGGAATGGAAATCATCATGTTGAAGGGATACCTGCACTCCCATGTTTATTGCAGCTGTATTTACAATAGCCAAGAGTTGAAACCAACCTAAGTGTCCATCAATGGACAAATGGATAAGGAAAAAGGTGTTTATATACACAATAGAATACTACTCAACCATAAAAAAGAATGACATACTGCCACTTGCAGCAACATGGATGAACTTAGAGAAAATTTTGTTAAATGAAATAAGCCAGGCATGGAAAGAGAAATATCACATGTCCTAACTCATAAGTAAGTCTAAGAAAATAAACAAATAAATTAAAAAAGAAAGATACAACAATCGTGATAATTTGTTGAACTTTTAAAAAGGAAGAAAAGAACTGAGGCCACAAGAGGGAAAGGGGGACAAGGGGTCTAGTGAGAAATAAAGCAACATGAAATATAATTACATTGTATGATGTTGAGCATACTAATCATCCTGATTTGAGCACCATATGTTGCACACAGGTATTGATATTCAATGCTGTATTCCACAGATATGTACAATCCATTATGTTTCAATCAATGACTATCTTAGTCATTGTCAAATTCCTGTTACCCTTTCCCTCTTGTACCCTAGGAATCTGGAGAATTTCTTACATGAACTTTCCCATGGATCACAAGAAACGAAGGAGGGTGCTTTACATTGGTTCCCCAGTTGAAAGGAATGTCTGTGACCTTAACCATTTGGTTTCATTTTCCTAAATGATCAGACCATGGGCCAGAATAAAAACAACTATGGCTACAAATTATGACTTTGTCATGTCAGAGTTCTCAGAGTTGAATATTTTATATTTTAAATCTAAAAAGTTGGTGACATTCTAGTAACAGGCACTCTTCTGCTAACAAATATCATGTGGCTCTTGGGTGATACCTTTGTCTATGATGAGAAATGGTGTTTGCATCCCTGCTCTCTGGTTTTCTCCAACTTCTGTATCTAGAAGCCACCAGCCAGGTTTGGATGCCTTCATTTCAAGAGTTTTAAATGAACCTAAAATAGAGAGTTAAGAAAAACATTGCATAATCAAAGATTATCAAATTAATATTACGGTTGATAGCTCTCAAAGAATCCTAAAATTCCTGCATTATGAGATGCTTTAGAATAGAATTAAAGAGTTGCATGTTTCTCTTTAGGCACGACTAGAGGTATAACAGATACAACAACAATACCACACACATATACATGCACAGATTACTAAAAATAAATCACTCCAAGATTTACAAAAATCTTCACTTTTCATTCAGAAGAAACTTCCACGTATGTAAATATAGTGTTACAAGTTAACCCAAACATAATACAGCCTCACGGTTCTAAGTATCAAAGCAACCTCGAATGACTCAAATATTTGGGCCTCAAAAAAAATTGTTTCCTTTCTCTCTTCATTTTGCTTTTTTTTCTTTCTTTATATAGGAAAATTGAAAAAAAACATATTTCTCCCATGTTTTAAAATTTTTTGAAAAGCCTACATATTTGGATAGAGATTTACATAGATTGTTTCAGGAAATCACTGAGAGTTCTAAAACTTCTATTCATTCTGGTATTTTAAATTACCCCCTGCCAGAGCCAGCCTGTGACTCACTTGGGAGAGTGCGGTGCTGATAACACCAAGGCCACAGGTTCGGATCCCTATATAGGGATGGCCGGTTAGCTCACTTGGGAGAGTGTGGTGCTGACAACACCAAGTCAAGGGTTAAGATCCCCTTACCAGTGATTTTTTTTTTTTTTAAAATTACCCGCTGCCAGTTAATACTTTAATTTTATTGAGTATAATTTGTGATGGTTTCCCAGAATGTGGGTGAAAATTAATAGCTAATGGTCATCCTCCTCAAACACACTGAAAAAGATCTCCAGTTTTCCTCTCTCCAATGCAGATATTCAGGTTTGGAGGGTGAGATGGGCTAGCCAATCCCAGCTTCCCAGTCCATCCTGTGGGCTTATGGAAAGGACAACTGATCTGCTAATACTTGCTGAAAAGATAAGGAGTGAGTCTGACCTTATCCCTTCTATTTCTGATCTTAATAGAGTAGAACTTTCTAGACTTATTAGTGAGTCACCAGTATGTGAGAAACAAAGAACTCTCTTCTCCACTACTCTTAACCACACCAGGCTCATTTGGATTTCTGTGCCTACGTCTGAGTCATAAAACTACTTCCCCACCCAAAGTCCTGTGAAGGGACTGCCTCCACTAGTTCCTCAGACAGCATCTGTGGAAGGGAGGCTGCTTGTTAAAAATGCAGACTTCTCGGGCCGGCCTGGTGGTGCACTGAATAAGTGCGCCGCTTGGGAAGCGCAGCGGCGCTCCCGCCCGAGGGTTCGGATCCCACATACAGACCAGTTCCCGCTCACTGGCTGAGCGAGGTGCGGGAGCAACGCCAAGGGTTGCAATCCTGTTGCCGGTCCCCGGTCCGGTACGGGGGCAACACTGAGGGTTGCGATCCGTTGCCGGACACGGAAAAAGACAAAAAGACAAAAAAAAAAAAATGCAGACTTCTGGGCCGGCCTGGTGGCGCACTCGGTAGAGTGCGACGCTTGGGAGCGTGGTGGTGCTCCCGCCGAGGGTTCGGATCCCATATAGAGACCGGTCTGCTCACTGGTTGAGGGCGGTGCGGGCACAACACCGAGGGTTGCGATCCCGTTACCGGTCACGAAAAAAGACAAAAAGGAAAAAAAAAAAAAGCAGACTTCTGAGAATTCTGCCCAAGATCTACCTTATCAAAGTCTCTGAGAGCAAAATCTGTGCTTTAGCATCTGCATTTTAACCAGCTTCCTAGGTTTTTATTACACCCTCTGAAGTTTGAGAATCAGTGACATCTGGCACTTACACACACGCTGCACAAACAGATACACCTACAAACAACTCATTGGCACATAAAAATCCTTTTGGATGACTGTAGCTTGTTTAAATCTACATTTATTACTATTTTGCACATGAAAAGCCCTAGATAAATTTGTTATTCTTTAGTTTTATAATCATTAAAAAATGCTTTTTTCTCTCTAAACGGCCTCATGAGTCAGTTCAGGAATATGATTCCTGGAGTTGCTTGTCCAAAGATATCAGGGTGGTAGAGCCAAGGGTAGAATTCAAGAATCCGGAAGCCCTAGTAAGTTTCTAATCTCCCTCTTGACAGAGAAAGCTTTAACTGCCTGAGCCTTGTAGGATTCATTTTGTCATCTGCTTGAGACCTGATTCGTGTGACACACAGTGGCTTGGAAGAACGTGCATAAGACATGGCATCTCTGTAGAACCAAGTGGGGTTGTGCATTTAGCCTGTGTGGTACTGCAAACAGTTCTCACTTGAGTTGACCTTTTTGTATTGTATGTACAGTTTTCGTATGTGGCTTTGCCCAGGCTTTATACCAGAACTCTGTGCTCTGACCCCTTAGGAAGTGGATACACAAGGAAGGAATGAGGGGCAGTTACAGATGCTAAGATTGCCATCTCCCACTACTTCTTAGCAGGGACCTCTTTCCACCACCCCAACTTTACCAGGTAGAAGGGGCCAGACCCCTAACTGGTGCTGTTGAGTGCCATTTTCCAGCAAGGTCTGGCCATGAAAGTGAACCACATGAATATCTTGAGGGCCGCCCACATTTAGCAGATGTAACCTCACCCACTCTTGCTCGTACATTCTCAGGCCAGGCAAGTTGTAGATCATCCCGTTAATGGCTGAAAGGACAGAGAGTTGCAATCAATTAAAAACCTGTATATAGAAGGAAGAAGGCTAGTAAGGAAATATGGGGCAGCCTACTCGCCATCATCTCCCTCATTACTCTGCATCCCCAGGCCCACCCAGGCATAGGAAGGGCCCTTCTCTATGTCATAATGTCAGTGAGAGGCTGAAACAGAACCACTGGTCCTTCTGAGGCCACTCACAGCAGCCTACAGCAGAAGTGTGATAGAGCTCCCTTTCCAAGCAGCTTATTGCTCTTTTTACCAGATTTTACACTTCTGTTCTGTGCTTTACTCTTTTATCCTTCACATTAATAGTCTGAACTTTCCTTTGCTACAAAAAGATAAAGACTAATATGGGCAGACAGAGCAAACTCCAGGGCTTAGAGTAAATAAGAGGGCGTGTAGCATATTGCTCAAAGGCCTCTAAATTCAGAAGTAGTTCCCAGCAAAATTAGGGAGTCAGAGTTCATCTTCGGTATAGCCACCAACCATAGCAATTCATGTTTATTCTCTCACTGGTATGATAGCTCCTCTGCCCGCTTCCCAGCTTAGGTGTCTAGGATTCTCAGCGTTATCCACTCTCCCCTTAGTGAAATATTTGGGTTTTTAGAAAAAGGACCTGGTTAACATGATCACCTTAAAAATGTAACACAAAATTTTAATGATAAAGCTTAGGCTACCAAGCACTTAACTGAAACTGAAGTAATGGAAGTTTTTCTTCTCTTTTCCTTTTTTTTTTTTTTTTAAGGTAAAGGAACTGTTGTAGAGTTTCAGAAACCAGGCTAGTGAATTTTTGGAAGGAGAGAAGTTGAGATAATTTTGGCACTCTTAAAATTATATCAGGTATGGGAACATCTATCTACATACTCCTAACACCCGCTTTTACCCCCTTATCTTAGTTTCTGTTTAAGAAATAGATTTCATAAGAGTGAAAGTCATCTCAAGTAATTATTAGGTCTGCATTGCAAAACCATTGCATCAGGGTATGTAAGTGAAGATTCTCAACATAATTGGTGCTCAATTAATATTTGATAAATTGAGATGAATCTGAGAATTCTTTCATTTATTCACTAGTTCAATATATATATTTTTTGAGCACACTTACTGCAAGGGCTGGGCAGGCACTCAGCTAGGAGCTGGGGATTCAGGAAGTCTGCTTATCAAATACCCTGATAAGTACTTCATCATGGGGATTACCAAATTATAGACACTTAGTCTGTAATACATTTAGGACTAAAACTACACTGGATGCGTTTTACCCTTTCTTTGAGGAATCAGGAGGCAGTGCCTCAAGGACACTCAGCAAGTAAAGGTCATAGCCAAGAGACAAGCCTGCCTGATTCTGCAGCCTGTGCTTTCCTACTAGGTTGAGAGGTTTTCAAAAGGATGTGCTCCTGAGACCAAACACACTGGGCTAAGAGGCCCAGAGATGGTAGTGGAGAAGAGAAGAAAGTTCTGCTTGCAGGCTATTGATCAGTTGTCTCTCAGTAAACTCTACTCTAGACTGCTTAATAGAATCGAATAGAACATTTTCAATATTTGAATTTTTTAATCTTTTATGATAAGCACAGTCCATCCTTAGTGGAGGGGGTTTTGGAGTAGATCACAAATATTTTTCTTTGCCTTCCTCTACCTCAAAGTATTTTTACAGGTGAGATCATTAAATGTCTCCTAGAAGTAAAGTATTTTTATAGGTTAGATCATTAAACTTCTTCTACAAGGTAAAAAAGAAAAGAAAAAAAAAAAAAACAGGTGAAAGAAGGATAGCCTGAGTGTGTGAATGAATAGGAAAAGGAAAATAGACCTATTTAGTCTTGACGGCTGGCTAGAGGTGCTGGGGGTGGAGGTGGCACTGAATCAGATATTGCATATAATAATATGACGTTTTTGTTTTCTTAAGCAATAGCAACTTTCTCCTTCCCTGTTACACTGAGTGACTGACTCAATACCCAAAGCACAGGTCTTCAATGATCAGAAATCTCAGAATAATCACCTTCATTCGTCAGACTCTGAAAACAGGGCTTACTAGTCTTCATTTTTTCTTATTTCAATCCAAGTCATTCTTTTTGCTGTCCACCATCCTAAATTCTGCCTTTCTCTAAAACTGTTTGTAGTTCAGTTGCCAATTTGCAGGCCAAATTCATAAGTGAATTTCCGAGTAGGCATATTTCTTCCAGTGTGACCCCTCAAAGGCTCCCTTGTCACTATTCTCTCATTACATGGCTACCTTGTTTTTCTTTTCTTTTTAAATCTCA